GGTCGATGCACATATAACCAATGCTCATTCACTAGTAAGTTTCTCGCGCCATATTTATTCCTTCTTTGGCTGGAAAGGGTATCTTCAGCACCTTTATTTCTATCATCAACTGGGAACAGTAGAAGGGAGGTGCTTCATTTTCCTTTTTGCAACATTGCTCAAAGAAATCATGACAGAAAGTGTCCAGCCTTTTGGATGCTTACTTGATGGTGTACTATGCATGACATTATGGACCCAGTCCCCGGGGAGCAAAACACTGACTGACAAATGTCACTTGGCATACATTAGCGAACAACCCTTCTGCCGATTCTCCAGCTTACCTTCTTTGTTGATCTACGCACTACTGCATGACAGCCCATCCAGCTGCGTGACGTGACATTATGATAGTACAGGATCCTTACCAACAATGGCGACCGGTTGCAAATGAAAACCAGAATCCCTTTGTCTTGCAAAAATCTTTGTAGACATCATTCTTGAGTTGTTGCCAAGACAAGACTCCAATCGATGCTTATCAAGCAACCTATTGGTTACACCGCGAAGTGTAATCAGCACAATAGATATACAATACGAAGCATGAGAAATCATAGAAAATAGGAAAATCTTAAAACAAGATGATGAGAGTGAGTGAGAGCTGTTCTGTTCACACTAGCTACACTTCAAATGATTCCCAACGAGATGAAAGACAGAATTCTTTTTCTAATCGCAATAATTATATTAACAATTCCGCAAAAATTGTCATCTTTTATATTTACCATAAATCATGATACTTTGCAAAATAATAGAGTTATAGTAGAGGTCCCATTGTAAAAATTAATGATTATAATGAGATCACATATTCTCATGTACTTTGTATAATATATGGTTTACTTAAAAAAATACATTATGTAGGAGTAATACGTTGCAAATTTTCTCAATTACATTGTTTCCCAAAATACGTAGTACTGTAGTAGTAAACTTGAAAGTCATATTTTTGAAACAAAACCTACTTGATAGTTGATACGTAGTACCATTTTAGAATTGTATTTCTTGTCCCACTTCGATCAATTTATATAATTCTGCTAATCAGCTTATGGGCTTCCCAGGTTTCGAGTTAATTGACTTACTTTATTGTTACGGACTTACGGAGTATATATAAACGGTTACCATGTATAAAACAGTCATAATCATTTAAGTATGGAGGATCGACCATAGTAGTGTTTGGGTTTGTTTCAAATTTTTAGCATTGATTTATTTTAGGAATTATATGGTAAATTGTTAAGTGATTGAAAGTGTTTAAAAAATGTAGTTTCGAAATGTAAAAAGACAGTATTGGGCAAAAAGGAATATTTCGTGAAATAGAAAACTGAACAAACGTTTAAACTACTTTCTCTCGCTTTTATTTTTTAGCTTGATAGTGCTTAAATATATTAAAATAAAAGAATTAGTCTAAAAACGCATTTTTTTAGCTTTTTTAAAACAGTACAAGTTAAAAACAATTTATAATTTTTTTTGGAAGTAGAGCTTAATTATATTTGCGTGAAATTAAAGTCAACATATCATGTACAAGGAATGCCCAGTCCTACAACCCAATCACAACCCTGAATAAAGGCGTTGATGCTAAACTTGTTTGCATGGGTTGTTCCGAGCCTTGAATGCAATCCCTTCCAATGGACCCTGTGCTTGATCACAGCACCAGCGCCGCTGTTAACATGCTCGCCGTAAAAAATGGTTTCCGGAGCTGTGTTGCCGGAATATGCCACCCAACCTTTGGGATCGATGAGACTCTCCATCAGAGTGATGGAAAACACAGCGGTGGAATATGCCTTCCAGGGCCGGCCCAAGAACGTGGAGACTCCAGTAAGATCCTCACCGTCAGCCGGTAGAACGGAGCAGTTGATAAAAGAGAACCCGGACTTGGCCATGGGCTCGTATTTCCCCTGGGCCGTGATGACATTCTGCTGGCCCGTTAGGGGCTTCCGGGCGAGGATGCGGCAGTTCTGGAAGACGGCGGCGGAGTAGCCGAATATGAAGTCAACGGTCCCGTACACGTGGCAGTCGTAGAAGAGCTGGCCGTAGGCTTGTGCGAGGAGCGTGTCTTGGTATCCCGCAATTCTGCATCTGAGGAAGATTCCTTTGTCTGCGTTTGCCATCAATGCCACGGCTTGCCCCATCTCTGCCCCTGCTGTGTTCTCAAATCCCATGTCTCTTGCTATAAACCCCGTCCCAGAAACAGCTTTATACACGGATCAAACACAAGTTAAACAATAAGTATCACTTTTTAAAAAAAAATCTTCTTAGTTCTTATATCTCCACTAAGGATTTTATATTTGTATAAGAAATAAGAAATTTTGTGTTCCAATCTAATCTTGTTTGACTTGTTCCGAAATATGTACTTTACTATATACTTTGTATTTATAGACCTCTAGGTAAATACTCCCTCCGTTCTCTAATAATTGTCCCCTTTGGGTTTTTAAGAAGAAAGCAGTATGTAAATGAAAAAGTAGCAAAGAGAGTGTATTGAGAAGAGAAAAGTAATGAAAATGTAGGAAAGAGAAAGTAGTTTGTAAAAAGTAAAAAAGTTATAAGGCTAATAAAACGAGGGTATAAGAGTATGTTGATAGGAAAAACTTACTAAATAGATAAAGAGAGACAAGTAATAAAAAACTTATCGAAAAGGAATACATGACAGTTATTAGAGAAAAGATGGAGTTAGTAACTATATTTATTTTTAATCATGACTAAATAATAAATATGTATAACTAGCACAAAAAAGAGTACTTTAATCATGAATATTACTAGTGTTGGAACATTTTTGTAGGCCATTATTAATTTTCTTTTATTAGATAATACTTGGTGTGTTATCAATCTAATACTGTTCAAAGTCTTAGAGACATGTTTATTTGTTACTTTAATTTATATGGAGTATTTTAAACTAGGTAAAACATATACGCACAGCTTGTGAATATTGTTGTGAAATTGTGTTTAAGTATTTGAATAAGCGGTGTGATGGTGATATGTTGTGATATTCATATTTAGCAAATTAATAATGGTGATATGCAATTGTATAAATATACGTACTGAATGTCGCAGAATAGTACGTTGGAGTTCCGTTACCGGCATTGAGGTTTCCGGTAACAATGGTAGTGTCCATCCTATCTCCGACCATCATAATGTTGCGCTTATTAATATCAACTTTGACGATCTCATTGTACACTCCTTCTTTCACGTATATCACAAACCTTTTCTCACTATTACTTGGAGCAGCATTAAGAGCATCTCCAATTGTGGTGAAATTTCCTGACCCGTCTTTCGCCACCACAACATCATAAGTCAACTCATCATAGCTACTTTGGTACACTAATGGAGTCTCATAATTTGACCTACTCATCATCATACCATTGTTCAAGGCAATATAATCCTCAAATGCATGCAAAATGGCTAAGCTGTTGCTCGTAAGCTCCGAGGAGTTCTTGATTACTTGAAAAACCGCATTTCTGAAGGTTGTGTCGCCGTTATTAACGTCGTCAACGGCGTCGATGCATGTGCGGTGGTAGGCTCCGGCGGCGGTGAGGAATGTTTTGAGATCCTCAAACGTTTCGGACGTCGTACTTTGATTGTATTTTGACGGTGACGGTGGCGGCATGGCCAAAGAATGCCGGAGGTTGGTAAGCGCGTTGACGGAGAGGAGCTCACGACACAATCTGAGTGCAGTCATTGACTTTCGTTGACCGGACACTTTTAATTCTAGTTTGAGCAACTCATTTGAGGTGGTCAAAAGCTCGTTGACCGCCACTTTTATGGACAACTTATAGACCTCTTGTAATAGTCCAAAGTTGTTATTGTCTCTTATTGGTGGTGGGACAAGAATGGGTGCTAGTCTGTTGTAGCATAGATCTGGGTAGGGTGTGGAGCTGCAAATAGTTTGGAGGTGATCCATGGAAATGGCCACACTCATCAAACTGGGGATTATTATTAACAACAATGATATTGATATTACAACCTTTGTTTGACTATTTTTTCCTCCCCCACTACACAATGATGAGAGCATTGTTGCTATAATACTACTTATAAAATCTTGCTATCTTTTCTCTTCTCTATATAAAATCTTCACTATTACCGTTTCATTGGTTAATTTATACAAGTATAATATAATATCTTCAATGAAAAACCATAAACCAACCTATCTAAAATAGTATAATTAATAATTGGTTCATAGAACATAAAAGTGATTTACTTTGGTCTCAACATTTTTATCCAAATTTGGCATCGTCATGGTAAATGTGATTCTAAAACTGAAAGTAACATTTATGGCAAGTTATTTTAAAGGATTATCTTCAAAATTTTAAATTACTAGGAGCATCTCCAATGCTATAATGTGCAAGGTGCACATGTGGCATGAGTGATGACCACATAAATATTAGCAAATAAATTATCTCTCTCCTTATTTGAATGATTTTATACAATTTTGGTTAGTTTTTCCCTGCAATGTCAACAACAGTGTCAACATCTAGACGGTCTCCTTGACATTGTAGAGAAAAACTTACCAAAACTGAATACAATCATTCAAATAAGGAGAGAAAGAATTTATATATTAATATTTATGTGGCTATTTCTCATGCCACGTGTGCACCGTGCACATTTTACCATTGGAGATGCTCTAGATCAAAACATATTTTCGGAACGATGTGTAGCAACTAGCAATACACGCTCCTGGTCATGCAAGATTCACCTGGCCCTTCACAACTCGGATATATCATATAATTAATCAAATTTAATTGAGTTGGAACGAAGTAATCGAGTTTGGGATCGAAACATATTTTGGTACGGGCTCACAACAGCACGACTTTGACAGGGATCTCCGAATCCGTGCCAAAATTCCTTCCAAATATGTATTGGCATATCAGGTATAGTATTTATGGTTTTGAAATGCCTTTTAATTTATTATTCTGTTTTTAACTTAAATATACCTAAATCTTCGTTAAGGGTAATCGATTTGGTCAAGTCATACACTTTTACACCTATCAAACATTGAACTCCTATGTAGGAACTTTGTCATTGAATTTAACTCATAAATAAACTTTATGTTACACATAAAGACTGTAATCACGGTATAGTTAAGCATGCAAAAAGGCTGTTCTTTCACTTCTCTGTTATATACTACTCCGTATCTATTAATGATACACGGTATTGTTTATCCTCCTCGGCGAAAAAACGCTGGTTTAAAACGTAGAAATCCTCTTGGGCTTGATGATTTTGGTTTCAGACTGCCTCATCGATCTGTTGTATCACACATTCACCCGTTACTAGAAGCTAAGACACACACTATATAGACATTATAAAAAGCGGAGTGGAGAATGTAGAATATTGCCATTCCATAACCAAAACCTTCAATTATTCAAGCAATAGATGAGCCTTCTTGGGGAATTGGCTCATGAGTTCCATGCTGGACAACCCGATTGTGATGATTGTCGTCAAGTGGCATATACTGTGCCATAATAGCTTTTATCTCCGAGTCCATGTATGACTGCAAGAACAAGATTATATTATTAGGCATTTTACCAAATGACTCCACATACTGAATTGGCTATGCTTAACCATGAGAGAAAAGAGTTAAAAGTTAAAGCATTGTTGTAGCTATTAAAGAACGGAGAAAGTATTTGCCATAAAAATCCAACTATTTCAGCCAAAACACAAAATGGGCTTTAGAGGAGTTTGAAGATTAATGACATAATAAAGTGTCGCGTCCTCATCTCATCTCAACGCAAAATTATGTATAGAAAGGGAAATTGAAGATTCGAACACAATTTCCTTACATACCCGTAGTCTGTATTTGTAAAATATGTATCCAGTTATACCAGCACAAAGTGCAACCGCCAAAACTATCAAAGTGATCAACCGTCCAACTTTTGAGGAGTTTCTTTCTGTACAACATATAAACAAATTTTCTGTAACAAAACATCAAGAAATTAATGACATAAAGCCTATTTTTATTATTGAATATATTCTATATAATTCTTAAACGTACCTATACATATGTCATGCTCCTTTATGTACAAATTATCCCATCTGCATTTGCAGTCATATCCACCCCAAGTGTTTGTACAAGAGCAACCATCACACTTGCAGGCTGTTCCTTCCTTACACTCATTCACATCTGTTACGCGATCAAGTATAAAAAGAATCTAGTTACAGTGCAAGCAACAACTTTAAGAACGGAATGTCCATTGTTAAAGAGGTTTATTGTGACTCGTCACTGGTCACTACACATTATGTATTACCTTTGCATTTATGGCCATCCCCTCGAAAGCCATTAGGACACTTGCAGCCAGAAACAAGAGCTTCCTATTTGCATTAAAAAATTATCAACAATGAAATCCATAAAAGAAAAAAAATCAAAGGAGTTATAAGAAGCGACAACAATAAAAATGGGTAGTAACACCGAACTGAGCAAGCAGAAAAAGTTATTCCGTGTTTGGTCTCTGACCAGCAACCACCATTGTCTAACATGCACCTTCCAGGCCCAACAGCTTTTGCAAACAGAAAAAAGTAGAAGAAGATTTAAGAAGCGACAACATAGATAGTCAAATATACGATTTAGAGTAAGTATGCACACAAAACACTACAGTAAGGCATTAAAGATAGTGAAAGGATGTTTGTTCTGGTTCTTCTTAGGGTGCTACTCAAGTCCCACATTGGAAAAATAACAGACAAAACCATGAACATAAGTGGACACCTAAATCAATTAGCGTGATGTTTTTGTGAGGCGCCTAAAAATAAATCTGTTTGGGCTATGTCCAGCGACTTTAATAGCTGGACACTTGAACATACTTCTATGAGTGGGCAACATTATTAGAATATATAACTATGGAATTTAGAAGTCAAGCTTGTTACAACAAGTTCCAATTATTGCATTGTTAAGAGTGAATCCCATCAATGGTTGTTCTAATGTTCCAACGCAAATAGATGTAATGTGTTGAGTGCAAAACCAATCCCTCATTGAATGGAAATCAGTATGCCGACCCTGGGATATACTCCCCCAATCCTTAACTGAAATAGGTTGTTGTGTCCCTGGTATATTGTTTAACTATCATAGTAATATTTTTCACATTTCAGGTAGACATTATACCTTTACATGATGCATATCCATCGCCTTTGTACTCAACACCATTCAAGGAAGGGCATTCACAAACCCTCCCCCTATACGTGTCCTTCACAAAAACAAGTTTGTAATAAGAAACAAGCAAATCATATACCATATATACTAACACCTGCTTCGAGATTCAAGTTGCAGTTAAAAAGAACTTCTTCCAGGAAAATAAAATCTAAAAAGTGCATAATTCAACCCCCTTCCCTACCCCCACCCCAAACCATGTTTTCTAAGGGATTATTCATCCTAGATGACTTTTGTAATACAGAGGCTCTTTTAGAGAATAAAAACAATTTTTGGTTAAAACTAGAATTTAATTGGGATAACATTAGGATAACGTGAGCCCTAATGGGATAGTCTGAAAACCACACTACAGCATCCCTTGAGGCTAAATACCTTGCAGGCCGTTGCATTAGACTTTGGATCATGCCAGCAGCCACCATTATTTTCAAGACACTCATTTGTCTCCATATCTAATAATATATCACCCCATCGAGATGTCAGATTGGATTGTATCAGTGTTGATTAAAAGGGAAAACAAGTTAAAGCTAACCTCCGTTAAGACAGATTGCAGGTTCACTTGTTTCTTTAAACCCAGCACAAATTGCTTTCAGCACAGCAGTCCTCTCAAGTTTACCTTAGTGAAGCAATATATGAGATTTGATGAGCACCCATACAAAAGCATATGCATATAAGTGAAATAAACATAAAAGTGCAGACAAGAGATAATACATGTCATTTTTATACAAATTTTCATATACATTATAAAAAATCTGGATAAATGTTGCTTTTAAACAATATGTGTTTATCATATGCATGTATAGCAAAACAAACATGATATATAATACAAAAAAACATATATACATACATAAAACTTATAAAACCAACCTCTGTATTGGACATTATTTATGACCATGGTGGGCAACATAATAACATCTCCACGAGTCCCTTGACCTATCTGAGGCAAACAAAACGGAAATGTATAGAACTCTTATTAGCTTTTGTAGCTTGAAATTAAATGAATATGGCATAAGAGAAATAATTGAAAGATTTAAAGAACACAATAAATCTTTGGTTTGCGTGTGTAATAAATGTTGACAAAGTGAGGAATACTTGAGCATAGAAATAAATTAAGCTTGTGACATAATGATGTACAAAAATAAATTGTGAACCTGATGTTCTTGCTCAGCTTTCAGTAGTGGATTGTCGGCATCGGCTTCAGGATCACCCATGCACTTCGCCATCTTTTCCATAGGCAGGTCTGATGATGAGGTAACCCAAAAAAGAAGAAATACACACAGATTGAAGATGTATAATTAGATTAAAAATTAAAAAAAAAAATGAAGCCCTGAGGAAATAAATGAGTTCAAAAGACTGAGCTGAACTAGATAACTGATGGGATTCTATATTTTTAACATTTTTTGGCATAAATGCTATGACCGACTCCAATCATCATCATTCATCAATATCATTACCCCAGTGCCGCAAAGGCTCCCACCAACGGTGGGGTAAAGGGGGTCGGATGTACGCAGTCTTACCCCTGTACTATAGCACAGAGAGACTGTTTCCGAATGACCCATAGTGAAAATCGCATCGAAAATTATAAGACTGATTGTTGCTTCATAACGAAGAAGCACACAGTTTACTGACTCCAATCAAATACCAAATTCAGTAAGAAATAGAGACTTACTGAGAGATTTCAAGACTCCTTCTGCACATTCTTTGCTATATTTCTTGTCCTTCATGGAACACCGGATGTGGAAATCTGTGACGTAATCCCACCAAACCCAGGATTTTCCAGTCTCATTGGCAACCCTGTGCACGCAAAGCTGCCTCAAGTTCTCCAGCACTACATCCCTTCCTTCATACCCTTTCTGAAAATCCTGCTCTGGATCAGGAGCACAGTACCTGCCGTGATTTATGCACTGGGACTGGCATTGGCTGCTCTTACTGAAAGGCTCAAAGCAGTACCATGTGACATAGTGAGGTGTGAACGCTGTGAATCCACCCTTTTCGAGAATCTGAGCATTCCCTTTGAAATTCTTAATGAAGTTCATCTGCTCATCGCAACTCTTCCCACACTCGTCGTTGCCGTTGGTCCACAGTTCGTACTCCACCTGCTCATCCGGGTGCGGCATTGACTCCGTCCAGTCCATTTTGATCACAACTTCGTTGCCTTTCTTCAAAGCAGCCTTCAAGGTGTTTCCGAAGGACCGTTCGATCAAAGCCGATGGGATCCCAATCTTCTCTAGGTATCCATCGTTGCCCGGGCTTTCGCCCGGAGAAACCATTGTTATCAACGGCTCATCATACGAATCAGCTATTAAGACTGCAGCTGCCCCCGCCTGTTCCCCGTTCCAGACCTTCAACGAGAAATAACATTCTGCAGAGGCAATGGAGAATTTTTCATGTCAACTTATCCATGCTTTCCATAGTTTCCAATACCTTAAATTAGTTAAATATGACCCGCCATACCAAAAGTTTATCCACCATTTCCTTTATTTTGGCGCAGAAGTAAAAGGTTGGACCGTAGGACCATACAATTAGCAGTTGGGCATGATCCCCAACTCCAATTCCATGAACTAATCTTTAGCTTAACAACATCAATTAACTACTGAAACTAGGCAATAAATTTGAAGAGGCAAAATATGTACTCCCTACGTCTCCTTTTAAATGCCCTGTTTTATCATATTCGGATGTCTCTATTTAATTGTCGCGTACCTTATTTGGTAAAGTTTGTGTGGCTCAAAATTATTCTTACTTTATTCTTACTTTATGAATTAATATCAACCACACAAACTCACTATTCTTAAAACTCGTGTCACCCTCTTCCGGGACATTTAAAAGGGGACGGGGAGTACTACTTTTAAGTTTGGGTCAAATGCATAAATGGTACCTTAACTATTGATATTATTACGTTTTGGTACATAACTATTAAATGTACCAAATTAGTATCATAATCATACATAAATGTTTCAATTTACAATATTATTCAAATTTGCGGCAAAAAATCCTACATGGCAATCAAAATTTTATTGTAGAATCCACCCTACAGTGATGACATGGACAAAAGTACAGTGAAGTGGACATTACACATAGAATTCTGACCGCCACGTACAATTTTTTGGATGAAAATTTGAATAATATCGTCAATTAAAACATGTATCTATAGTTATGGTACTAATTTGAATTGATTCTTTTAAATGTTAAGGTATCAAAAGGGACAATATTAATAGCTAAGATAACAATTATTCATTTCACCCTAAGTTTTACGTAGTACTAGTACTACGTATTACTTTAGAGAATAGTAGGGGACATGATCCTCTAAACTATTCATTAGCATACCACACCATATCCATTAATTAAAAAGTGAAGTATATAAAAAATAGAAGGTGATTTTTTAACACTAGGAATGTTCATATTTGGATACATTTCAATCTCAAACTACATAAACTGGATGATCGACATACCAAACTGGAACTAACAATTAGATTTGTTTCTTTTATTTTGTTGAGTTTTGTTGATGTTGGCTTATTTTACATACCCAACTAGTATTTAATTTTGTATTTCTATTTTGTATACTTGTATGCTATGATTTTTTAACGGCATCCTGGCCGTATTCTTTTTGTGCCAATTTTATTATTCTTTATGGTAAAACTAATTTTTTATATGCTTTTGTTTGGGTTGAATGTGATTATAACATTGGAAAGAGTAAAATGGAGGGTCAATCCTCCATGATGTGACGCGCACATGAAAGTCCAGTTAGCAGACTTTGCAGACGTGACGCACACGTGGAAGCTCAGTCAGTTATTTCCCGATGACGTGGCACACACGTGGAATGTCACGTCACAGGGTGATCTGCTGACCTGGCAGACAACCCGCTAATTGACTCTATTAAACGTTTTTTCAAAGTTCAAGGGATTTGATTGATTTTTTTTAATTTACTATATGATCTTAATTAATTAACGTTTTCCCGATAGTATGAGGACCAAAATGACAGTTTTTTCTGGGATTATTAGTTAAATATATCCCAACTATCATCAAATTTACAAATCTATACATACTTTCACTTTTATTAAACACAGACTCAAACTTCAACTTTTCTCACAATTACACTTTCAATTGATGAATTAGTAAACTAAAGAAGAAAATCACATTTATATTTCATATTTTCCACTTGTTTCTAGTTTTAAGTTTACAAACTTGTATTGCTTATATCTTATTGGTATTTATAATAACATGTAATTTTGAAAAAAAAAACACAATTGTTGAAAAACATGAAGTTTGCGTCTTTTTTTATAAAAGTGAAAACATAAGATAAATTTGTGAATTTGAGAAAAACATAATTTTTCTATTCTTTTCTTTTTGTTTGTGTTATCGTGTATCGATTTATGTTAGCCGGCTTAAATTGTGTAATTAAACAAAAATATTGTCGGGGTAACTGATCTGGTGGCCGGATGGACAAATTACGTTTACGTACCTTATATAACAAAAAAAATAAGCTACGTATAAAAAACAGAACTATATAGAATTACGAACAAACCATTTTGGAATTTTAAGTAGTAAGCTAAGATATAAAAGATTTTTCCTACAGTATTATTAGAATTTAATTTTTGACAAGAAATAATAATTTGCTGGTGGAGGCTATGGTGTGAGGGTTGCGGTTGTGAGTCTATCGATGGAGGATGGAGATGAATTGATGATCAGTCACCCTCCTAAACCGCCGCTATGGAGGAACCGTGAAGCTAGAGTTTGGAAGAAGGCGTTTGAAGGATGAATTCGGTTGCTCCATTGGTTTATCTTCTTTAATTTTGTTTTATTCAGTTTCAATTTTTTAATTATGAACTCCGTTCTTATCGTTTTGTTTTTGGTTAAAGTTCATGGTGCTAGGTTTATTACGATGAGTGGGGTTTCGGCTAGATTTGATATGATTAGAGGTGAACGGATCTATTTGCTCAGCAATAGCTGCATTAAACCTGTCTGGTGTTTAGCGATTCCTATATTGTTACTCAGGGGTGATCGTTTCAATGTCCAACCGTAGGGCTAATAGTAGTTCGTTGTTGGAAGCTAGGTGAAAGTTGTAGTCAGCATTGATCACACTGATATTGATGTAACTGTCCTGATTTTAATGATATCAATATATATAGATGATTTCCTTTAAAAACAAATCATATAATATTATTAAGGGACGAAAATAAAATGTCGGACCCGTATTTCTGATATTGTAAATGTCACCCCTCAATTGTCCAAATTGTTGTAAATGTGGTCCTTTAAGGGGTGAAATGTAATCTCGCCCACATTATGTATTTCACATTCAAAGGACCACATTTACAGCATTCAGGACAATTGAGGGACGACATTTAGAAACTCGAGAATACGGGTCCGACATTTCATTTTCGTGACTATTTCAGGGACTAAAAGTGTGATTTTCCCTCTTGTTAAAATATACGGAGTAATTTTTAGACAAAAAATAATAATAACATGATCACAATAGTTACACAGAAAATGACATTGCAAATGACATTGCGTATAGTAACTCCACACTAAGATCGATTATCTTCATGATCACAACTATCATTGAGAAAATACCACCATAGTCACTCTGTACCAAACAACACATATTTGGGATAACTTTATTGATTTAGTTGCCGGTCTTCGTTCATATTACTATAAGTCTAGCAAGTAATTTTCCTTTCTTCTAGATCCCATGCCATTATGTACCAAACAAATTTATTGAGATTCATGACTTTACAACAAGAGCATATGTATCATTTTTGACAAATACAAAAGTTCTACGAGAAAAGCAAAAGCTCCGCCAACTGTTTGCTTTGCCGGAAGTAGTTCATATCGATCATTGAAAAAATTGTTAGCGCGTATTTGAGGGCGAACCCAGAAAAAAATTTCATCATTTCAAGAGATCAGATAAAAATATTGCTAGAATATACGAAGTATAATTGTATAAATGTTAAAAAGGTAAAAATTAAGTCGATCTCCAAAACTCATTCAATCAGATTGATTGATATATAATTTTTTTAAAGTCAAAATGAACATGAAACAATAAGATATAGTGAGTGACATTATTATACATATAAACTATCTATCTATATAGTGCAGTGATCTTAATTGTGTGAACGAAATTAAAGTAGAGCATATGTATATACCTCCACGATCAAGAAGGAGAATGTTGGGGCGAGAAGTTTTGGACTTGAAAGGCTTAAAGCCCTGGAAGGAGGAGCAGCCGAGGGGTCCGCCGTGCTGTGCCGACGGGTACACGACGCTGCCGACGAGAGAGCCGCCGTACTTGGGAACTCCGAAGTCCGAAATGGAGGCGTTGTGCTTGGCGTGGAGGTCGTAGGGCTGAACCACAGTGATGCTGTTCGTCTCCACCACGAATCTCCCTTCTCCCATTTCCCAGCAGTAACCCGCCATTAATCCCAGCACTGTGACTATGATCATGCTTTTATCCATAACCACTTCATAACCCATCATTATATTTCTCGATCGTTCAATTACATACAAGGATCGATCGGAGCTCCACCTAATTCACCCACCCAGCTGCCAATGCTTATAATTACTCCGTGTAATATATGTAGTCACAAATTCAATAAAATAATTGCATGTATGAAAATCGGTCAAGATTAATCGACAATGTTCCAAGTCCTACCATAATATTAGGGGCATATATATTATAGCTATATATGATTCTGACTTTCTGAGTGTTGCGAGCTAGCGAGTGCTGCCCGGAATTTTTAGCATTTCTTTTTATATTATACGGAGTATATTATACGGAGTATACTATATACTTCGTACGTAGTATGAGAGTATTATTAATCCATTTTATTTATACTTGTATATAGGATTTTGTTTTGATATTTTACTAAATCTAATAAACTTTAAAATTTATAGGTTTTGCACATTGGTCCACCGTACCCCCATCAAAGAGCATAATTGTCTACATAAACAGGATTAACTCTTTATATTTTATCATTTCCCTTGTCATGCTTAATATGATTCTTTTAATAATAATAAAAATAAATAAATAATAATTGAAATATACAGGCCTCAACCACCACCACAGTCACCTTCCGGCCAGCGCCACCACTTTCGGTCTCCGGAAAAGAATGCCAAATTGAAAAAAAAATGTTTTTATGATGAAAATTTTAAAAAGATCAGAAAAGCGGAATATATTCAAAGACTAGAGTTGCCATCTTCATGACATTTTTAGATGAATGTGGCATTTTTACACATTATGACATATTTCCGGCGATCGAGATTGGTGGTCCTGGGGTGGAGGATGTAGCGGCACATGCCTACATATTTTTTAGATTTTTTTATTATTTCAGTTATTAAGTTATTTATTTTTCCCTGTTTTTGATAAATTTATAAATAGTTTTATTATTTTTATATTTTTATAATAAATAAAATTATGGTTTTCTAGCTTATTAATAAATTAAATCTATTAGGAACGGGTAGAATTGGAAGAAGGAACATATATTACTCATATTTTGGGAATAAAAAATTAGTTCTATTGTTTCATATAGGTCTATTTTAAATTTTGTCCTACTTAGGGTTAATAGTTCTATAGTAATATAAATAAAAAACGTGGTGGCAGTTTGAAAAATATGTCAAAGTTTTTAGTAAATTAAAGGTGAAAAGTGTAGCATAGAAACTTAATAATGTATCCCATTGCGAAAAAACTACAATTGTTCATAGCTTTCACAACAAACATGGTTTTTATTTGACATATTTAGATGAATGTGGCATTTTTACACATTATGACATAACGTGTTTGATTATATTTGGAAGTTATGCATTACATGAAGCGGGAAATAAATTCAACTTTTTCTGTCATTTTAAACATCAATGTATATCTTGTGAGACCGTTCTCATTTCTCATTGGAAGAAGTTTTCTAAAGAGAAATGAGAATGAACTTGGACTGTTATATTGTATTATGTGAAATTAAATGTGTATTAGATAAAACTAAAATATGTATTAGATGTAATTGAAATGTGTAGCACAAAGGGTATGACGCAACGACATTATATGAAGTTGAATTGTGCATTAGGTGAAACTGAAATATGTATTAGGTGAAACCGAAATGTACAAAATAAAAGGTATGATGCATGCAGTTGCATTTTTCAACCTTTTATTCTACACATTTAATTTCAATTCCACCTAAATTCACATTTGAGTTTTACTTTTTATTCTGCACATTTTAATTTCACGTAATGCACGTTTCAGTTTCATCAAATGCACAATTCAGTTTGATATTATTTTTGTTGAAACAACATGTAATCATTAAAATTTAGGGAATGGAGTGATTCGTATTGTGTGTGTGAGATGACTATTACTAGTAATATATTATCGTGGTCAATGCAGTTTAAATAAAATATAATTTACACTTTTACTATAATCGATTAAAAGTAACATTAAAAATCACATTTTTTTATCCAATCATTTTATCCAATGGCCATATTTTAATCACATACGCAGTGGAGGACCTAGGGGGGCCTACCGGGGCAAGTGCCCCGACTTCCGGCCAGGAATTTCACTACTAGTACTTACGGTAAAATAGGTGCCCCTGCTTCCGATCAAAAAATTCACTACTACTTCGGGTATAATTAGTGCCCCAACCCGTACAAAAAATTATTAGTATTAGATAATCAAGATACTAAAATGTTATGATTATATAAATTAACAGTTAATACACAATATTTAAATTTTAGTTGAATTAAAATAAAATATATAGAATTCTCAAAAAAGGAGAAAAAGTAGTCAAGGGTTAATATACGGCCAACTAAAAGTAATCTAAAACAAGTGATAAAAGTTTAAAAAACAAGTTGAAGGGCCCAAAAAAAACTATTAGTATTATTTAAGCCCAATACTTATTTTTGCTTTGACTTTATTATTATTATTACTATTTTTTCATTGTGGGTGATTGATCAGATAAGTCTTGAGATGGAGAGCCGTTTTAGTGAGTCAAACACATAATTACTCACTTGTTTAGGATGTCTTGATCCTAGAGATAAGTTCTCCAATTTCTGTGAGTCAAATCTACTGAACCTCGCAGAATTATATTCATGCGATTTTTCATCCGTTGATTGAATGGAGCTGAAAGAGCAACTCCAGGTGTGGATATATGAAATGAGAACAGATGAATTATTTTTTGCCGTACAGACTATTGGTGAAGTTTGCAAAAGATGGTTGAGCTTAAAAATCACAATTCTTTTCACTTGGTATATCGTCCGATTGAGTTGGCTTTAGTACCAGTTGCAACAACCACCGTTGAAAGAGCCTTCTCTGCGATGAATATTATCAAGACAGATCTTCACAATAAGATGGAAGATGATTATCTTACAAATTGTTTGGTGTGCTACATCGAGAGAGATGTTTTTAGGAGTATCGATAATGAAACTATTATGCAACATTTTCAGAATATGAAAACCCGTAGGCTTGATTTACCAAAATTGCAGAAATGAACTATTTAATATATAATTAACTACTCCGTATAATTTATGCTATTGCCTTACTTTTTACCATCTTTATTACATTTGAAATTTTTATTATAGAGTAAGTTTAGTGTTTAGTGTGTCTCTGCTCTGGCAAATCTCTGGGTCCGCCACTGCCGATACGTAGTATTAATCCGGAGTAGAGTTTAAATAAACGAATGAATGAACAAAAGTCGAGTTACCTCGAATTCACACAACTCTTGCATGTTGTCAAAACGAAAGAGAAACTTTATTCTTTAAATTCTAATAATCTTTTTGACTTTGTCTATTACTTCGCTTGGTCTTTCTCTTGACCTAAGCTAATACTCCGTAATTCGTGTTACGTACACAATGAGTTTTATTTTGTGGAAAGGTAATATAAAATTATTGTCTACAATTTGGTCATATTTTTTCACATAATTAAGTATTGGTATTAATATTATATACATGTGTAATCTGCACAGAAATAGGGTTTAATGCGCCAAACCCCCCTTTGATTTGGAAATTCGGCGCATTAGCCCCCTGTGATTTAAAAAATGCGTCAAACTCCCCTGTGTTTTAATTAATCATGCGCCAAATCCCTTATGTGAACAAATTCAATTGTCAAATAAAAGAAAAATGATTAACATTTTTGTATGATTCAGAGATATTGACATATTTATTTGCATATTCAATCAAAATATTAGGAAAAATCTTTTTCAAATCGTTAAATTTATTCATAAAGGGGGTTCTGTGCATGATTAATTAAAACACAAGGGGGTTTGACGCATTTTTTAAATCACAGGGGGCTAATGCGTCGAATTTCCAAATCACAGGGGGGTTTGGTGCATTGAAACCATTATGTTTACGAAGATGGTTCAAAGGCATGTCATTCGCAATGTGTGAATATTCTCGCCAACAGTTTGATTCGAGTATAGTCGATGAACTTGATGCACACGCAAGCTTTAATTTAAATTAATTTAACAACAATATGGCAGAGCTAAAGAGTAAAGACATTAATGAAACTTTATCATATATGATTAATTACCTCTATGAAAATAGTCAACATACATTTGTATTTATCATACTAATTAATTTAACAGTTTCCAGTACTTCTTCCATATCAATGAAACTTTATCATATGATTAATTACCTCTATGAAAATAGTCAACATCCATTTAATTTGAAGTAACACATTAACGAATCATTAGCAATATTAATTAGTATAGGAATTAATATTATTAGTCAATAATAAAGCATATACTACGCATTATACTTCATATAATGCAAAGAAGACTAGTATTTTAATTTCACCTGCGCAGTGTTCTGGAGTGCCGTAACACAACATTGTTAACTGCTCTTATGTGTACAACTTAAATTTAATTGATACGTAGTATTTGTTAAAACTCGAGGTTTTGTCTTAAAATTAAAGGTGATAAAAGGAGTAACCCGATATCTTGTGTGACATTCTCTCCGTCCCTTAAAATTTTGTCATCTTTTTTTGAATGTTCCTAAAACCTTTTCACTTTTGAAAGATAGCTTCTTCAATTTTGCGATAAAGAGAAATATGTCCAATAGTGGTTCGAATATAAAAAAAGGAGTTTATCTTTTCTTTTTTAGAAGAAAACAAGTTTTATTAAAGGTAGTGACAAAAGTTACAAGAAAGAGAAAAAAAGAAAGAAAACAACAAAAAACGGGAGAAATAGAAAAAGAAAGCCCAACCCGAAGTATAATATAAACCCTCCCAAGATAACTCCGAGTCTATGTTGAGTAATCAGCATTCCACTCATGTTTAGGATCTAGTTCTCATAAGATTGATTAGATCGCCGATTCTTCTTCATGTACATCTTAATATGAGTATATAGATTTTCTGTAGGCAGACGGTTTTTTCTTGTGACCAACAAAGCTTTGTTGCAAATATTTTGATTTGAATTAGAATCCCATAGATCTTCCACCGAAATAATAGGAGTCCTCTTTTCGCTTTCCGATGCGTGGTCAAGAAAACCATCCCTCGAGTGTGTATAGAACTGCGCGCCAAAATCATCCTCACAATAAAAAAAACTACAGTACGGTCACCTGGAATGAAATCCCTCGAAATTGGGTTTGCACACCCAATAGCTTTTTCTTTTTGAGCAGGTCTCTCATCCAAACTCTCTGATATTGAAAGAAGAAGCAACGATTCTTTCCAATTCTTTGATTAAGAATTGAGAAAGTGAGTCCACCCCTTGCGACATAGTGATCTGAAAGAAATCTTTAATGTGATCCAAAG